TGTATTATGATTGTGTATTTCACCTGCCGTTTGAAATTTCTTTTCATTTCTTTTCACGTATTTCAGTAAGTCATAAATATACATTGCAGGAAAGGTCATGATTTTTGATTGTTTAAAAAGGGGCTTACAGCTTTCAAATCTTGATGCTTTGTAGATATTTCTGAGAGCCTTTTTTTGAAGTTTAAAAATGTCCTCCATCATGGTGGAGTTGCCCCAGATAAGGCTTCCATAGCTGAGATGAGAGTGGAACATTGCGTGATAGGCTAGAGTAGCTGTTTTAGCATTTGTAAGCTCTCGGATTCTTCTAATGCCATAAATTGAGGAGTTTAGTTTAGGTATAATGTATTCTGCATGCTTGTTCCATCTTAAAAACTGGTCGATGTGCACACCCAAAAATTTTGTGTGTGTCACTCTTTGGTCCTTGTATATAAATTTTTCTTGAATCACCACATTCTCATTGGTTCTGAATTGCACTATGTTGGTCTTTGATTCATTTAATAATAATTTGTTTTTGTAACACCAGCGTTTCATATCTTGAAAGATTTCTTCTAATTTTGCTTCCAGCTCATGATTATTAGTGGCTTCAATAAGAATACTGACATCATCTGCAAAATTTACTAGATGACCGTTTTTGATAAATTTTTGGAGGTCATTTATGAACAGCAGGAACAGTAGTGGACCAAGTACTGACCCTTGCGGGACACCACAAGTTATAATTTCGGAATTTGATCGATATGTTCTTAAAACTTTTCCATCACTGTAGCTAATTTCCACAACTTGTTTTCTTAGTGACAGGTAGGACTCCATCCACTTTAACACTTTACCTCTAATACCATAAGCACTGAGTTTTGTTAAAAGTATCTTGTGATCTACAAGATCGAATGCCTTAGACATGTCAAAAAAGATTCCGGTTAAAAGTTTTTTCTTGTCGAATGAGTTATAAATTTTTTGGATAAAGTCCACTATAGCATCAGTGGTACTTTTCCCTTTCACGAAGAGAGAGAGAGAGAGAGAGAGAGAGAGAGAGAGAGAGAGAAGACTGAATATTCTTTTTTTTGCTGGAGAATACTGCCACCGCCTGAGTCGATAGCTCTCGATGTACACCTGTCGATACCTCGATACCTCGGTTATAACCCGTGTAATCCCGTTGTGCCGCACCGTACTATGGACTCGCACCAACGGATATCCGTGCCGGCGACGCGGCCGGGGGCTTCCCCTTTGTACACGGTGCTCGCTACGGGCTGCTGCACGGGGCCTAGTGATCGGGCCGCAGTTTTTAGAGCCAAATGGACAATTTCTTCCGAGTAATGCACTGAAATTCAAAACAACAACAAAAAAAAATATGATGCGCGTGGTTTATAAATGAAGCGTAGTTTGTACTGGTTAGCCCTATTTGTTGTTACATTTTAGGCAAAGGTGCAAAAAAATTACGTTCGGACTAATATTAGCTATGTATGAATAAAATCAGTTTTTGGAGCTATGCAGGTAAAACGCTCGCTTGCTCTACGTTTCGTAGCACACAGCGAAACGTCAACCTATAACGCTAATTTTGTTGATACATAGCTCCGATATTTATCGGTCCATAAAATAAAGCCTTTTTTTTTTTTTGCCTCCGTGCCGTTGTGCTGTTTTTGGCGGCCTAGAAGTGATATCCCCCCTGACGCAATGTAGAGATAGAGGGTAATCATACCACCTGTCTGCTGATTGGGCGACAATGTGCAGACTCAGTGCCGAGCTCGATCGAAGCGCGCTTTTCAGGTTGGCCATGCAACGGGCGTTACTCGCTTCGCTTCACTTCCGTTTCTGTTAAAGGTGCACACACGCTTATGGCAACTGGAACCATCCTAGCAAAACCTAAATGGTGTGTGCCTCACTCACACTCCAAATTTAACCTTAACTAAAGCCTGACTTTGAACTGCACACTGAAAATAAAAGTGCAGAACTGGCATGCATATGCGTCGGTGTTCACTTCCTTTGGTACACACTTTTACGTGTTGGATTGGAAATTTGAACACTTGCAAGTATGCAAAGCTTCAGTAAATGTGAATAACTTGGGTGTGACAGAAGTGTTTGACTGAACATTTGAATTTTGTAAACTAGCCCCATTGCTCGATCCAGAAACTTGACTTTACAAAACTTGTGTAAAGAAACTATTTTTCTTAATAACTATAAAGGACGACACATTGTCATAGCTTATCCGCGGAACTGAATAATAAAATTTCATGATGTCACTTTTATCGATGCTAACCCACGGTGCGTAGAGGAGGGAGCGTAAAAAGTCACTCAAAATAGAAAATCTCCATTAGAAAAAGGAGGAATAAAAATTGAAAGAAAAGGTGAGGAGGGTGACATCGAGGGTGAGAGCAGGGCGACAGCAACTGGAGGAAAATAAATGAATTAAAAAAAAAAGTATTGCGGAGCGCGCTGGGAGTCGCACGCTGGGAGTCGAGTGCAAGGGAGGGAGAGGCTGCGGAATAGGGGTGTAAGGGTTGTGGGGGGGGGGAGGGGGTGGTTGGAGGCGAGGAGAGAAAGAATGATTATAAGTCGGTGTGTGTTAGGGGACCTGGTAACGAGGCTACCCCTAATTAGGGGCGTAATTAACACACTGGACTGGAAAATAGAGGAGCCGCCCGTCACCTCAACCCCTTATATATAGCGGGGGCGTGGCGGGGCGTGGCGTCGGCCAGGAGAAAGGAAGAATGATAAAGCAACCGCAGAGAGAGAGAGAGAGAGAGAGGGGAATGACGACGACGCCGTACGACCCCGCGGCGGCGGCGGGGGGGGTGGTATTCCGGTGCAGCTCGCTCTCCTGTGTTTGGAGGAAGAGCTGTCTCCAGCTGCGCCTTATGCACCACACACCGACCTGGCGGCGGCGGCGTTCGTACTCTGGCTGTCCCCGTTCGTTGATGATAGAAAGAGAGAGGGACTTGGAATTTTTCATGTGATCTTTGGCATATCACTCGGCCAAATTGCTTATCCAGGGCAATTCCAGAGAGGGGTGTTCGTACGTAAAGCGATTTGTGAGGGACTGAGAGGTGTTACAGTTTTGTACAAGACGCGAGATGGCGAATCTGGACATGTATTGCAAAATGACGAAGCACCTGTTGCTCAGAAATCGCGTTAGATTCGGACACTTTTAAACCATTTTCCCCTGAAATCTCCCTGCAAATCTTTGTCAACCGCCCATTTGGATGATGAGAGAGAGAGGGTGCAAAAAGAAAGAGGGGTGTACATCAACACAAATATGTAAAAAGTGCCGCAATGTTTTAAATTCTTTAAATGTATCAGAGAAAAGGATTTGCATTCTGGTAGAGACAGTCTTGGGGAATGACGGTAAAGTAACAACAAGCTAGGTTTCAATGACATAGTCACGCTTGCGTACGGAGGGATCGTGTAGGTGCGTCCGTTTTTCTTAGGTTCATTCTGTCAATTACGCGAGCTCGGCGCCTGTGACCCGAAGGGTAGGCCGCCCCGCAGTACACGCGTGCACTGCAGGCGGGGTTTTGCCTACCCGTCAGGCGCTACGTGAGCTAAGCCCCCCGAGTAGTCTCGTAACAAAGGGCGGACGAAACAGAGGGGTAGTGAGTTATGCTGCCGAATCGTTACGATATTGCAGAAGCTTAGAGAAATAGTTTATCTTTAACGCCCAGCACGCCCGCAAGACAATTGAATAAGATAGGGTAGACTGGAATAAGCAGTGCTGAACCACACACTAGGGTTAAAAATTTCCGAAAAATTCTCAAAAAATTCCGAAAATTATCGGAAAACTTTCAAAGTCTGGGGAATTTTCAATATTCCCGCTTCAATTTTTTTCTGAAATTTTCCTGAAATTTTCAAGGGTCTTATGTTAATGAGTTATTTTCCACTTTGCCTCTGTCAGCGGAGCGGAAGACCTCCCTGGGGAAGGACTGGCACGGGGCGTGCCTACGCTGCGAGAAGTGCAACAAGACGCTGACTCCCGGCAGCCACGCCGAGCACGAGGGCAAGCCCTACTGCAACCAGCCCTGCTATGCCGCCCTGTTCGGACCAGCAGGTGAGCTCTCTCTCTCTCTCTCTCTCTCTCTCTCTCTCTCTCTCTCTCTCTCTCTCTCT